CGGATGAGAGCAAGCTGGTGCGCCCACGCCGCCGCCGCAGAGGCATGCGTGGCAGAGGCATGCGTGGCAGCCCCCTTGAGTCGCTGGCCCCGCCGCCGCTCGCGACAGGTGCGCTCGCTCGAGGGGCACGGCCATTGGGTTAACTGCCTCTCCGCCTCGACCGACTATGCGCTGCGGCGCGGCCCCTTCGACCACCGCGGCGTCGCGCCGGCGGACGAGGCGGCCGCAAAGGCGCGCGCCTCTCCCTCTCCGTACTGCTGCCTGTGTCCCCTGCCTCGCTTCCCCTCTGCTGCCTCTCCTCTTGGCGACTGCACCACGCCACTCCTCCACTCAACCCGCTCGCCCGCCGCCTAAATCACGACCTCCGCCCCGCCGCCACACGTCGCTGCCGCGTCCCCGGCCACAGGCTGGTGCCGCGCAGCGGTACGCCGAGGCTCGAGGGACCGCCGAGCTGCTCGCCTCTGGCTCGGACGACTTCACGGTCTTCCTGTGGGCGCCCGCCGCGGGCAAGAAGCCGATCGCGCGGCTGACCGGGCGCGCTCAGCTCGCCAGCCGCGACACTTTCGAGACACGTCCCTCGAACTTGCGATCTCCGCTTCAGGCACGTGCAGCTCGTCAACGCGGTCACCTTCTCACCCGACGGGCAGTGGCTCGCCTCGGGCTCGTTCGACGGCGCCATCCGGCTGTGGGCCGCGCGGACGGGCAAGTTTGTCGCAGCGCTGCGCGGGCACGTGGGCGCTGTGTACCAGCTGGCGTGGTCGGGCGACTCGCGGCTACTCGCGTCGGGATCCAAGGACTCGACGGTCAAGGTGTGGGAGCTCAAGAGCCGCAAGCTCAAGGAGGATCTGCCTGGCCACGCTGATGAGGTCTACTCGGTCGACTGGTCGCCCGACGGCGAGCGGGTCGCGTCGGGCGGCAAGGACCGCAATTTGAAGATGTGGCGTCGCTGAGGAGGTGCGGGGGCGGGGCCACGGGAATCTGGCGAACAGTACAAATGTGTGTGGAATGTCGCGGCAGGGAAGTACTCGTAATTATGTATGTAAAAGAGGGAAGCAGTCGAGAGGACAGGGGAGGGACGCGGCCAGAAAGAGGGCGGGCGCTAGATCCAAAACCCGGTGTCGCGGGACACGGCACACCGCTGCGCATTAATCATTAAACGCGCCACCCGCCGCGGCGCCGCGCGCGCGCGGCGCCCGCGGGGGGCCCGCGCGCGCTACTCGGGACCCGCGGCGCGGCCCGCGCGAGTGGACAGACGCCGCCCCCGCGTCTCCGAGTCTCCGTTTGACTTGTCGGACGACCGGCGTTCCCGACGACAACACTCCTTCCGACGGACGGGGAGGGAGGGGCGGAATGGACGAGAAGAGAGTCACTCCTCGACCTCGAGCTCGACCTCAACCTCTTGCTCGTTGTCGTTGACGGCTGCGGACGACGGGCCCTTGAGCAGCTTGGGCGTCGCGGCCAGCCCGCCCTTGATGTCCAGGCACGTCCACTTGATCGTGCCAAAGAGCGTCTTGAGGATCTTAGGCACCTGATAGAAAGCCGCATGATTTAATGAAGCGAGTTCAATTTGGATGGCAGTCGGTGGGCCGTCGCCTTTGCGAACGCGGCGGCGTTGCCCTTCATCAGCCCCGGCAGCCGGTATATGTCCCGAGGGCCGAGGCCCTTGGCGAGGAGTCGCAGCTCGGAGGGGCTCTTGACGTACTTTGCCTGGGCGACAAAGGGGTCGCCATCAGTGTGTGCGTGTGTGTGCGTATTGTGTGT